GTCAATGTCCCCCCCCCCCCAGTTCCTTCCCTGTACATTAAAAGGTGACAAAACCAACCTGGCTCTTAGGACAGGACAAGGGAAGACAGCAGGCCAGTTCTAAGAAAAGATGAAGCAAACCCAACAGCCTTCCTGTCTGAGGTTCAGAGCATCTTAAAGACGGAGCTACGTGAAATCATGCGACTGTTGCTGGCGGGCTTGGTGCCGAATCCTGGGAAAAGGGGGCCGCTGCCCCTGCCCCTGCCCCTGCCCCTGCCCCTGCCCCAGCCCCAGCCTGCAGGCTGACAGTCACAGAGCGCTAGGATGCACGCTGAGCAGGGCCCAGGGGGCAGGGAGGAGGTGGGTCTCTGCGCCTCTGCGGCTCTCCATGCTTCCCACGCACACTACTTCAGAGTTATATTGCTTTAATTCTCAGTGGGCCTCCCTCTGGCTGGCTCAAAGGAGCCTCCATAGAATATTGCTTCATGGGCAAAAAGTTTGTTCCCAGTGTTAGAAAAGGTCCCCAACTTTTCAGCTACAAATCCTTAGAGGCTGGTCAGCAACTGGGCCACCTCCCGGTTTGGATCCTTCGACCAGCACCCGTGTCCACCCCTGCCCAGCCTTCCCCAGGGCGCTGCTCAGACTCCATGGCTGGACTGAGGCCTTCAGGAACGTCTTTCCTTGGCCCTCCGTGAAGAGCTCCCAACACGGCCCAGCAGCCAGGTAGACCTTCACTCTAGAAACAGCGAGTCAGAGCCCTCGAGGAGAGGGTCATGGGAAACTTACAGAATTGGGCGAGACTGGAAGTCCTCCTGGTTCATCCTCTCGGACTGGCGGATTTTCAGGATCTCCGTGTAGCTCAGGTTCTGCAGTTTGCTCTTGAACTGGTCCAGGGAGCTAGGCTTGGTTGTAAGAGCTCTCATAACCTGCTCCCTCACCACCTGCATTACCTGTGGGTGAGAAGAAGACAGTGGGGCTCTGGGGTTAATCTTGCCCACTGAAAAGGCTCCAGCCAACAGCCCCCTGCCTCTGCGAACCCCTCTGCACGCACTCTCAGCCCAGACCTTGAGCATGCTTTTCCAAAGAGTAAACCACCCTCGTGCACAGCTTCCATTTCCTCTTGTATCCTTGGAACCACAAGGGGGAGATGGGCTGGAACTGGGGGCAGAGAGGCTGGGTGTGGGAGGAGCGCTCCACCAGATCTATATTCGACGTGACTCCTACTGAGCCAACACTACAGAGAATGCGCACACAAGAGTGAACGAAGTCCAAGCGACAGCTAGACATCTGCATGAGCGTTATTCTTTTCCAGGAGAAAATTGCAGAGACACAATGAACTGGAAGTTTGGTTGGCGCCAGTTCAAATGAATATGAACTGATAGCCACCCCCGCCCCTCCCGGAGTGCTTTCCCCGTGTAGCTCAGGCCCGAGTGCTCATACAAATGATGCATTTGGGGATGTGCGTGTGGTAGGGCTTTTTGAGGTCTATGATATTAGAACAGACATATCCCACTGGAAGCCTCAAGAAAAAGAGAAGGTAATTTGCTGCCTCAGGACAGATCCAGCCCATAAGGAGGCAATTAACCATCGCCTCGGATAATACGGTTCACCTTCAGCAGGGCGTACGAAGCAGGAAGAGGCCAGGAGACAGAGGCATCGAGAGATTGGCAACAGTCTTGCTGCTGCTTTTTCTAACCCTCCACGACAGCTGAGGACAACTGTTAGTAAAGGAACTACTACGTGCCAGGTACTGTGGTCCCCTCCCTCAATCCACTCAGATCTGGAGGCTGACAGTCTCATCATCACATTTGCATATGAAGAAAGGAGGCTTCCAAAGAAACATTAAGTAACTAGTTCAAAGCCACACAGCTGGCTGCCGGTGGCTGAGCTGGGATTTAGACTCGGGACTGTAAATACTCTACTACCTTGCTGCCCATGCCACCATCCTTGGGGTGGTTTAGGAACTTAGAAATAAGAGCAAATTACATGTGCAGGTCAACTCTGTGCTAGATTCTGTGCCAGGCACTTTGCTGCTCACCACCTCTTTTAGAGGAGGTGTCACTGCCACTATTTGAGCATCCAGCACCCCTTCTGAGCCTTCGGTATGGCGTACAGCATCTATAGCGACTCTTGTCACATCGCTAGGAAGAAGTTAGGCTAGTTATTAGTGCACCTGTCCCCCCACCTAGATTGTAAACTGCCAGAGGGCAGGAACTGTTTCTTATTTGTATTTGCGGACCACAGTATTTAACGTAGAATCTTTCAGACTGTAATAATGATTGATATGTTCAATGCCAAAGATCATTAGGCTTCCACTTTGCATCTCTAGAATTAAACACATACGCCCTTAACAGAATTATAAGACAGTTGACTGGCTTACAAAGCCTAAGGAATCAAGTCTTCGGCCTTGGCACGGTATCTTAGGGTCCCAACTGTCGTTCTGGGCTCCCCCCCTCCCAGGCTGAGCTGGAGGGTGACTTGCAGCTCAGCAGAGGGTCCTGGAGAAGCCACAGCAGCAGGCGTTACTGGGTATGGCCATCAATGGGGGATCAATTGACCCAATCAGCGGTGCCCCAGGAAACAGATTTATCTTCATAATGAAGACAAAAGGCTGTCTTGGGGAAGACAGAGACCAACACAGCCCAGCTTCGAAATGACTCCGGTGGGAGTTTTCACTGCTGGGCTTCAGGTCTGGACCATTTTTCTTCCCGGGAATGTTCCTTACACAAACCAAAATGACTGACGGCTCCTGAGGACCACTCTCCCTGGGCTGCTTTTTGCCGAGGCAGCCACCATGGCGAGGACATCTGTCCACATGAATGTCCTCAGTAGGGACCCGAGTTAGCAAGGGTGGTCACCGCCTTCCTGTTGAGCCCCCAATGCCTTGGGCTGCAATCAGCATCTGTGTTCCCAGACACAGGCCTGCAGCCTGCGTGCCAACCCTGAGCGGGCAGTCTGAGTGTAGGCCAGTGTCCAGATGGGCCCAGGGAGCCGCACAGAGGACAGTTGGAGACAATATGAAAGGTCACCTTTCAAGCTGACCCTGGGAGCAGAGCAGACAGCCCTGGAGCAGCTAGGAAGGGAGCTAGCTGCTGGAGTACATCCCCTGGATTTTAGCAGCTAATAAAGTAGGAATCAGATGGCAGGGGGTAGTGATGCTGAGGCGGCTTTAAGCATCCTGACAATCTGATCAAAATCCACATTGAGAGCTTTGAGGGCTTTGCCATTAGCCTCCCCGAACAGCTCATTATACAATGCCTGATCCAGGGGTCCCATGCCCTGCTGGCCGGGTGAGCTCACATTTCAAAGACTAAGTGTCAGGGCACTAAAGCTGCCCGCTCCTCACCGGGAGGCATTTTAATTTAAGGTTTAAGGCATCTTTGTAGCCAGTTAAAAAAACACAATGCCTTTCTACCAGCAATTCATCTTAAAATCAATCAGGGCTGGGATTGTTGGAGATCGATGGATATGGCAGCAACATCCTTCTCGCTGTCTTCAGCCTCTTCAGGAAGGTTAGTCCCAGAGGAGACAGGAAAGGTGGGGTTTGGGATCGCTGTCTTCTCTCTGCAGCCCCCCCTGAGAGGAGGGAAGAGCTGTGTGATCAAGCTTCCTTTGCCCAGAGAACAGGGAGCCTAATGAATACAGTGATCAGCCCAGATTCGCTGGTTACTAACTGAAGGCCCCGGTGGACCCCTGGAAGCTCCTCTCTCGTGTCTGCTGGAGCCGGTCTCCAGCAGGCCGGGTCCATGCAAATCAACTAGCGGGTGGCCTTTAATCCACAGCTCCCATAGCCAACAGGTGAAGCCAGTCAATCAAGACACAAGGCGTGTGTGGCCAGGGCAGTGGAAACAAACCAATCGGTTTTCTTGCAAAGAAGGTTCAAACACTCTTCCAATAGGGATCGGTAGGATTGGGGGGGAATAACTACAAATGTTTAATAATTATGCTACTGCTGGTTTTCTAAAGCTGGTTTATCAAACAGCCATACTTTGCCAAGCATGGGCGTGGAAAGCCATGCCCAGTCTCCCCAACACTAACACTGGGGTCGCTATGGAGATGCTGTTCTCTTGCAGCTACGGCTGACCACGTGGGGGTGGGGTGGG